ATAGAGGTGGGGTTTCACCATATTGGCCAGACTGGTCTTGAACTCCTCACCTTGTGGTCCGCCCTCCTTGGGCTCCCAGAGTGTTGGGATTACAGGTGTGAGCCACTGCGCCTGGCCTCCTATGCTTTCTAATGCTGAAATAAAACTCTCAGTATACGCTACGGTCTGTGTGTGGTGCTTTATATGCACTGTTTTACTTAATCCTTTGTTAAGCGGTATTACTTTGAGGAAACAGATTGAGAGCGATTATGTAACATGGCCAAGGTCTGACACTTAGTAAGTAATAGACTTGGGTCTTAAATACTAGTCTTTTGGACTTTGGCATTTAGGGATGACTAGCCTGTATTACTTTTCCTTTGATCCTTCCTCAGGTAGGAGGTGAATTTAATAATTTGGATTTCTTGAAATAAATTAGACTCCAGAAAAACAGAATCCTGACTTTAAAACTGGGCTCCGTATTTCCCCTTGTTTGTTACTGTGCCAGTTTAAACATGTGCTTGAAAAGAGAAATTTACATGCTGCTTTTAGAGACGCATGTGTCTCCTAAGCACATACAACTGACAGTATTTTGCCTTCGCTGTGCTTGGAAGTTTTTATTTTAGTTATTTGGGCTTTAAAAGCAGCATATGATGGAGTTTCAATTTGTCTTAAAACCACAGAGTGCTACCATGATACATACATCAATAAACTGTAGAGTGTTTCTTTCTTTATTTTGCCCATGGAGATGTCTGACAGCTTTCAGAAAAAAAGGCAGCCACCTAAGTGACTAATATCACCCATTTGGAGGGAGATAGTTGAGAATTTCTCCCAGAGTATATCCATTAAAAATCACTTCTTTAGCCTCTCCTGTGTCTTTAAAAGCTTTTCATCTTTCCTATTTTGTCTTACATGTCCCTTCTTGTTACAGGAGTATGTATTTTAATAACAAATTTAATACAGTATTCAATCTTACAACCAGTTAATGTTAGCTGTATAGCAAAAACAAACATGTGCATCCAGTCAGTCATGCTCCAATATGGAATAGCCGTTACCCACGCTTGCGTTGTTCCCTTGCTCCCGAGTAGCTTTGAGAAATGTCATTCCTGTGAGTCTCAGCTTCCTTACTCTAAAAAGCTGATGATAGCGTCTCTTTAGATATTTGTACGAGTTGGGTGAAATAGTGTGCATTGTAGAAGAAACCACACCATAGTGGGGTGGGAGGGAGGACATGGCAGTGAGGTGCCTTTCTCTTTAAGAACTTAGAAGTTTGCCTTCTGGAAAACAGTTACAAAATCGAAACCCCGTGGCCAGTTTGTACTTCAACAGCACATATACTAGAAAATTAGAATGAGACAGAGAAGATTAGAATGGCTCCTGAACAAGAGTGACATGCAAATTTGTGAAACACTTCATATTTTAACATAAATAAACACAATGGCTAAAGAAACATACAGTTTTTTTGTTTTTTGTTTTTTTTTTGAGACAGGGTCGCGCTCTGTCACCCAGGCTGGAGTGCAGTGGCATGATCTTGGCTCACTGCAGCTTTTGCCCCACAGGCTCCAGTGATCCTCCTCACTAGCCTCCCGAGTAGCTGGGACCACAAATGTGCACGACCATGCCTGGCTCTTTTCTGTGTTTTTAGTAGAGATGGGGTCTCAGCATGTTGCCCAGGCTGGTCTCAAACTCCTGAGTTCAAGCCATCCACCCACCTCGGCCTCCCAAAGTGTTGGGATTACAAGCGTGAGCCACCACGCCTGGCCACAGACCTCTTAAAGAAACACATTATGGGCAGGCTTATCATCGAGCACTTAACATAGATATTTGAAAAAAAAATGTCAACCACAAATGTTAGTAACTTGTAGCACTTTTAAAAAGCAAACTTATTACAAAGCTTCTGTTTGGGATGACAAAAATCTTTTGGAAATAGTGGTAGTGGTTACACAACGTTTTGAATTTAATGCCATTGAAGTGTACACTTAGAATGGTTAAAGTGAAAATTTTATGTTATATGAATTTTTTTTTTTTTTAAAGTCAGTAAAGTGAATATTCGCAGGGCTCCATTAGGCATTATTTAGGCCAGAGAAAGCTAGAACTAGGACCATACTGCACAGATCTTGTGGCAAGGAGATCCTCTTTTCAGAGTCCAGTCTGGATTCTGATCGCTCACGTTCGCTGCTGTATTTCTAGCTCTAGGCCAGGACGTGCTGGATGAATGAATAGTCTGTTGTGCTTCACGGTTTATGCAACTTGTTGCTCTTGCTGTGGTGCCAGACACAACAATATTCTGATTATAGTTTGACTTCCTATGCAGGGAGAAAACATGAAGGTCAGAGGCTCAGTGTCCGGTCCTTTCACCCATTCGTTTTTTTATTGTAAATTAATAAATCGATATTTATTATACATTCTTAAAACTCCCCAAACAAGTTCAAGCTTTACATCTTGACACCAAGAGGTCTACTAGATACTTTTTATCAAGACCGCCCTCAGTGCATGTGAGGAATGTGAACCACCAAGGCTCCTGAGACCGCAATGAAGAGAGCTGTTCTCAGGGGGACTTGCTAGTAATATTTCCATCAACAAGTGCCCACATGAAACGAGTGCTTCGAAATGGGTTTCTTGTACTTCACATCGTCATTATCTCCAAGGAATGGGTTCCATAACTGTGGGGTTGGTTGTTTGCTTGTTTGTTTAATTCATAGTTTCCTATTCAAACAATGACTTGTCAATCACATTTGTTTCAAAAAAGATGAATAAAAATTTATTGGTCTCTTCAGGGCTGCAGTCTTGCTTAGAAATGAACTGAATCTGGAAATGTTTTAATTAAGAAATGTAACAGTTTCAAAGCTTGTAGTTTTAAGATGTGCTTGTTTTTTTCACAGTGGAGCTACTGAAAAATCCCTCAGCTACTTTGCTTTACCATTGTATTTTCTGCAATGATCCTCTCGAGCATTTTAAAAGAAAAAAAAATTGGTCCAAATTAGTTTTAAAAATTATTCCTTGCTTTCTGTTCTCTTCATGTCTATGTCTTGTGTTTCTTTGCCTGAACACAGTACATAAGAACCTCACAGTTTTCTCAGAGTGCTTTTGAGTCCTCATTTGATACCTTTTCCACTCTTCATTCCCATTTGTTTCTCCTTTCTTTTTTTTGTTCGAGATGGAGTCTCTCTCTGTCGCCCAGGCGGGAGTGCAGTGGTGCAGTCTCGGCTCACTGTACCCTCCACGTCCCGGGTTCATGTCATTCTCCTGCCTCAACCTCCTGAGTAGCTGGGACTACAGGCACCCGCCACCATGCCCGGCTAATTTTTTGTATTTTTGGTAGAGATGGGGTTTCATCATGTTAGCCAGGATGGTCTCGATCTCCTGACCTCGTGATCCACCCGCCTCGGCCTCCCAAAGTGCTGGGATCACAGGCGTGAGCCACCTTGTTTCTCCTTTCTTCAACGCAGATCTTCTGACCAGAGCTGTGGAACTGGGGTCGGAGTTGAGCTCGATCACCTACCTATTTAGCGCGTCACACCTACTTTGTATGTGTGTAGCAGACGTTTCTTCTCCTGTGTTTCCTCATTTTACGTTTCTTCAGTCACAATAGACGTTCCGTGAGGCCTCTTGCATAATGACTCTAAGGGGCTTTAGAACCGTTCTCCTGTGAGGTAACCATGCCTGTGATGTGGAGAGAGTGTGAGACTGGGAAGCAGAAGACCGGAATTTCATACGGCCTTTCCCACCACTCAGCTGAGGAGCCGCTGTTGCGAACCTCCTGCCCTGGTGGGATTATGGTACGTATTCAGAGGGGTCGTTTGGAGAGGAGAAGCACTGTCCACACGGACGGTGCTGGACTCTCACAGGCCGAGTTTTCATTGTCTCTTGGTTTTGGGGCTGGTATGAAATGAACTTGGGTCTTCTTCTGAAGGCTTTCAGAAAGTTAGCAATTAAGAATTTTAAATTCTGTTTTTTAAACTCACCCACCATGTTGTTCTCTAGTTTCAGAGTACTTGTACGTGGCAAGAGACTGTGAGGACAGGTTGTGAGACACTTTGAAATGATAAAAAACAAAACAAAACAAAAAAAACACAAAACCAAAACTCTGTCTGTCTAGCTCAACCATCATGTTAGCTCTGCCTCTCACTGTCTCTGAGCTGTACTAGAATTGTGCATGCTATAAAAAATAGACCGTAAAGCACCTGGTTCTGGTCCATATAATGCCAGTTGTGTTTGGAGAATGCAATAGATTATGGTCCTATGCGTATTGACTAGTTTTGCAAATTTTACGTCTTGCTGGCATTTCTGAAGCTTATCTATTTGTTTCTTCTCTGAATTCTTTTCAAAATCAGACTTAGCATCTTACTGGTTCCCTAATTAGTGAGTTAAATCTTTCATATGTGTTTATTAATTTTGAGAATCATTATTTTACTTTACAGAAAATTATTTCTTAACAATACAGTAAAAGAAACCCCCACAATTCTGGGAATTCTGGGAATGATTTGTGTTATTTTGAGCAAAGTACTGAGCTCTGGTTTTCCTCATTTAAAAAAAATAGTGAGGTTTGGCTGGGCACAGTGGCTCATGCCGGTAATCCCAGCACTTTGGGAGGCCAAGGTGGGTGGATCATGAGTTCAAGAGATTGAGACCATCCTGGCCAACATGGTGAAACCCCGTCTCTACTTAAAAAAAAACTACAAAAATAAGCTGGGCGTGGTGGCACACACCTGTAATCCTAGCTACTCAGGAGGCTGAGGCAGGAGAATTGCTTGAACTCGGGAGGCGGAGGTTGCAGTGAGCTGAGATTGCGCCACTGCACTCCAGCCTGGGTGACAGAGTGAGACTCTGTCTCAGGAAAAAAAAAAAATAATAATAAAATAAAAAATAGTGAGGTTTGACCGAGACAAACCTCTAGCCTGTGATTCTATGGTTTTATGATTCTATGATTCTACAATTTAATATTCTCGAAGCCCAAGGTCCACGGTCCTATGTTTGTTAATATTTAGGTGAAATGGCATAAAATCAAGGAACTAAAGTATCTTATGTATGTAAAAATTGCATAAGTTCTTTTTGGTATTTGTAGCACACATGTGCACATAAATTATTATTATACAAGATACTTTGGTGTTTGTAATTCTTAAAAAGGAATTACCAACATGGCAAAACCCTGTCTCTACTGAAAGTACAAAAATTGGCGCCCATAATCCCAGCTACTCAGGAGGATGAGGCAGGAGCATCGCTTAAACCCGGGAGGCGGAGGTTGCAGTGAGCCGAGATTGCGCCATTGCACTCCAGCCTGGGGGATAGAGCGAGACTCTGTCTCCAAAAAGAAAAAAAGGAATTATATTGCTTGAATTGCTATTGACAGTTTTCAGTAGTGAGGAAAAGAAGGGTGAGCTTTCTCCAGGCAACTTTTTAGATAAGAAGAAAAATTTATTTGCCTTTAAAAATTCTTGGCGTATAACACCATTAGTGCTTATAGAAAATGATGGCTGTTATTGAAGTCTGTGACTTTTTAAAACCATTATTAAGTTCAAAAAGCATTTCTAAAACATCCAGCCTTGCAGAGCATTGCATTAGGAAAGGTAAGAAACAAATGGAAACTTTTATCCCTGTTGTTTGGGTAGTCACTAGTAAGCATTAATATGGTAGTATGTCTGAGTGACCCCGGGCTACCATAACAAAACACTGCAGACTGGGAGACTGGGTGGCTTAAAAAACAGAAATCTATTTTCTCACAGTTCTCGAGACTAGAAACCTAAGACAAGGTTCTGGCCCACTAGGTTTCTGGTGAGGACTTTCTTCCCGGCCTGCAGATGGTGCCTCCTTGCTGAGTCCTCACGTGGCCCTTCCTCATGCAAGCACACAGGGAGGAAGGGAGCAAGTCAGTGAGCTCTCTGGTCTCTACCTCTCAGGACACTAATCCTATTGTATCAGGTCCCCACCCTTATGGCCTCATTTAACCTTAATTACTGTCTGAGAAGCCCCTTCTCCAAATAGATCCGGAGGGTTAGGGCTGCAACATAAGAATTTTGGGAGGACACAAACATTTAGTCCATAATCTGTGATACTGTTGGAAGCAAGAAGCCACATATCTCAGGTACAGATTGAGGATGGCAAGGAGTAGTCTCCCCAGAGGAGGCCTGGTCGTTGTTGAAGACAGCCAAGAGTTGGTGAGTTTGATGCCAATCTGGGTGCTTCTATAATTAGAAGATACTAATTGTACTGACCCATTACTATTTATCTGTTCTAATCTTTCAGTGGTTACAAGGTTTTCCCAATAGGAAAAAAGGGCAATATACTTGCTTTTCTTTCTTTTTGGATTTTAAGCCTGGGACTTCTTTGGGTCATGATATATATATATATATATATTTAGATTCTGTCAGCCTGTGTAACAATATCCCAGAAAGGACTAGTGTTTTATGTTCTTTCAACTCTTGGTTTTTCTGCCTAACCGCCTTTACTGGTTTGGTGCTCTTGGGAATACTGCCTCTTAGGGAAAAATAAAATCTGATCTTTTGTGGATCTTGGAGTGGCTTAGTTAGTTTAATATAATCTAGTGTGTGGAAAGGTGGAGTTATTTTAAGTCCTTTGGCTTTACTTCCATGCCTAATGCCTTTTCTCATCATTTATTAAAGCGCTTTGACTTTGATATGTATCATGTTAGCACCTTGTAAATCCTTTTAGTAATACCTTTCTATGATGAAGGTGTAAACACCGCTGTTTCTACCACATGTACTTCTCCCTCCATGTCATTTTTATGGGACTTTAAACCTGCTAATGTTCCAGGTTATTAATTTAAAACAGCCAGCCACATAGTAGAAGCTTCTTTCTCATCTGTGATGTCCTGACCTCATTTTACCTGTTTCCTTTTCAAATTCAGTTTGGAAATCTCAATTTTCATAATCTTTTGAGCTACTACTTCACTTCCCTGATGTATACAATTTAGCAGCCTTATTATTTTCAAGACTTTATACCAGGAGCACACATGAAATAATTACTTTTTTTGTTTTTTGGCTGCTGGACATACTCCCCTAGCTAGTCAGGATTTTTATTTAATTATCTTTCTTCATCTTGTAGGAAATGGAATTCCTATTTGCATTTTCCCTGATTTCTCACCTTGCTGCTTCTTAGCCTCGTTCTGACAATGTTTAAGGGATTTAGCTTGGACGTTGTTGGGTTTTTGTATCTCTTATGCCAACCTTCTTATATTTAGCTACATGGTTAGAGCTGCCCAATTAAATGGCATCCAGTAAACTGTGTTAGGGCTTGTGCTTGAAAATGCTTTGAAGACTCAGTTGATGTTTTCTCAAGTTATTCCTCAAGTTTGTAAGTTAGTCTAATTGAAAAGTATTGTCTGGAAAACTGCCTCGTTTACATGCAGATTTCATTGCTTGCCCTGGGTTGGCTTGTACAGACTTTGCAATCCTTTTGTTGACGGAGTTTCTCTTGTATGAAACACTTTAGCTACCTGTCCCTGGTTCTGGACTCCAGCTTTCAAAAAGCAACATAGACAATTTAAAGGGGCCTTAGATAAAAGCCAAAAATATATTTAGAAGATAAAGTTAAAGGAGCTACAATTATTTAATCTGCTAAACATAAGGGTGTAGAGAAATTTAGCAATGTGGTAACTGTGTCTTCCCTGTATTAAGTATGTGCTCATTTGTACTTAGGGGCTCACTTCGTGTCTTCTCAGCCAGATCTGGAAAACCTGGTGCTGTGCTTTTGCTTCAGTATCATCATTAGGAAGGATTTAGGCTTGACCAATGGAAGAGATGTTGAACCCTGGAATGAGGGTCTGGGGAGGAAAGGCATTGTGGGAATGACCTCTTGAGTCTCACTTCCTAGGTAAGATGGATTATGGGTAATGAAGGTGAAAGTTTTAAGGTGTCTTCCAGATACAGGATTCTCCTCTGACTGCTGCCATCAGTTTTATTTTTCTAACTGTGACTCAATGCGCTTTATGTGCTGGGAGAACAAGGTGCTTGTAACTGTTTCATAAATGTATTTCTTGACGCAGGCTGGTGAACAGGCCCAGGTAGGCTGTCATGTGGGGTACTGGAAAGAGCACTGGACTGGGAGTCATATGTCTAGGTGAGAACCCAGCTTTGCATGTAAGTGGCTACCCGACCCTGAGCCTGTTATGGTATCACTTCAGTCTTCAGTTGTCCCTTTTTACTGTGTGGGAGATTGGTCAGAATAATTCTCAAGTCCCCTCTGGATCAGTTCTATGTGTGACAGTGGGAGTGAGGTTATAATTATCAAGGAGGAAGATACACAAGCCGAGAGATGTGAAGAATAAGTGGAGTGAAGGCAGAGGTAATAGGAGAAAGGGGAAGGAAGGGAGACGGTGAGGAGGGTTTTTCGACGGGAATTGATAAGAGTGTTTGTGGCTACCAGGAATGGAGTTTTAAAAGTTTTAAAAGTTGATCTCTTTCACTCTATCTTTAATGTGTTGGATTTCAGTTGTGATGAGAACGACAGCGATAAGTTTTCACTCAGTCTCTCTTTTTAAAAATTAGATTAATTTGGCAGAATTTAAGATGGTTAACTCAATTTTCTCTTTCTGTTTCTTATATAAGTAGGTTACAATAGTACTCTTTCTTTGAAGATTTCAAATAATTCTTTTTATTATTAAAAATGCCCCCCTGTGAAATAAGCAAAGGTAATTATCTCTACCTCATCATTGGGGAAATGAAGGTACAATGTGATTAAACAATTTATTTGGGAATCCAGTATGCTGGTGTTAGAATTCATTTTTCAAATCTCTCTACTTGGCTTCTCTGCTTTAAGTTGT